CGACGTCGTTTTACACTCAAAATCTGTCAAAACGACGTCGTTTTGACAGATTTGAGCCATTTGAGCCACAAAAATTTGAGCTACCTAGCATTTTCCATTCATTTCTATGAGTTCAAAAACTAGGAAGATTCACATTTTATAAAGTGAACATGCTCCCAACAATGAAATCAAAATGAAAAACTGAGAAGGTTCACAAATAGTACGAACAAACAGCCTAGATTGACATCTCTAAAAAAATTTAAAAAATTAAAAAATTATAAAAAAAAAAGTTAAAAAGTTATCACTATTCAACAAAAAAAAAAATTTAATATACAAATATTAAATACAAATCAACTTTTTGGCCATCAATGTACTGATGTCAGGCTAGCTTCAGTGAAAGGGGAAGAAAAAAAAAATTGCATGTGTATATTCACTAAGTTGAATGGTAAAGTTAGGCCCGTGGAGACCCACCATGGGTTCAATTTTCATAATCCGAACCGTTCAAAATGTAGAACTCGTCTAGTACTATATATTTGTAAAAAATCACGTCTATCGGATATTGCTAACTACATGATCAAATCAATTTTGTATAAAAATTAGATGGTGTTATAATTAACAGTTAACAAAAAAAATTAAGATGATCAGATAACTATCAATATCTAACCAACGTGATTTTTTACAAGCGTATAGTAATCGACGATTTTTACACATTGAACAGTTCCGATTAAAAAAACAGGATCCGTGGTGGGGCCCCATGGGCTGAACAACACCGTCTAATAAAAGCCCGAAAGAAGGCAATCTTTTCCCATGTATTCACCAAACCGACTGCCCTGCAATCCGTACGTCGTATTACACTATCTTTTTTTACACACTTTTTATATAATTTTTTAATATATATTTTTTCACAAAAAAGTCAAAAAGTTAACTCAAATATCTATATTTTTTTCCTCAACTTTTTAGTATAAAAAGATAAAAAATACACTTATTTAAAATACCTCAAATAACCCCTTAGTCTCCACCGATTGAATATCCTTATCTAGCTCTTTGACTCGATCCACCATTAGGTAGCGGTCATTTTAGAGCTAGCTGAAGGTCAAGGTTCTACTTGAGTGGCCCTTTTTTCTACACCATTTCCTTGGGAAATTATCCCTAATTAATCTCTGTAATTTCAATTGAATTTTTGACCTTAAATTTATAATTTTATTTTAATTTGGTCTAATTGATTACAATTCTTAACATTTTTTATGAAAAATATATATATAAGTAGCATGTGATATATAATTTACAATAAAACTATAAATTTATTAAATTCAGTTAATTAACCTCAACTAAGTCAATAATTGTTTTCTATCAAAAACCATTAACGGCATTATCAATTGGACCAAATTGATATAAAATTTAAAATTAAGAGTCAAAATTGAGTCAATTGAAAGTGAAGGAACCAAAATGACATATAGAGCAAAATGCCTGAACAACCGATGTAATTTGCCTTAATTATTAATATTGATAAAATTTATCACTAATTTATAATTATTTTTCAAGTTTTATCTTAATCTAAAATTCTCCCATAAAATTGTAACTACTGAGAGGGACGGAATAGGAGAGAACTTGTTATGGTCAAGCAATTAATTGCTTGGATGACTGCCTAATAGGGACGGAATAGGAGAGAACTTATTATGGTTATGCAATTAATTGCTTGGATGACTGCTTAATGCTTTACTTGTGGAGGTAACCCTCTCTTTCATTGTTGATTTTAGGGTTCGTTTAGAAATTTGGCTATTTTACTTGATATTTTTGATTATTTTAATTTGCGTAAAAAATTTGAGTTTGAGATGATTTTTAGTTTTTAGTTTTTTTTTTTTGTTATTTATCGATGATTGCAAGAAAAAAGAAGAAGAAATAATCATGGTTTGAATATAACATTTTGTTTTATTAATTATTTTAACTTTTTTTTTTGTCTTTATTGATTATTTTAGCTAAAAACTTGTGTCCGAAACACCCCCTCGATTTGAATTCTACTGTCCTCCTAAAAATAATTCTCATATTAGTACTAATTGGGATGTTAAAAAAATTGGTAAAACAGGTAAACTGATCCAGTCTCGTCCAAATTGTCGATTTAGTATAGTTTTTTTTATTGATTTTGATTCTAGATCTAGTTTTGAAAATGATGGAAAAATTGTTCAAATCAATCTGATTCTCAATTTGAAAGCTTTGGTTATGGCTCCAAACTGAATTGTGATATATTTATTTTTTTCACAATTACTTTCTATTGTTTTATTTTGCTGTATTTTTAAATTAGTATCAGAATCTAATTTTCCAGTCGCGTAACCAAATTATGAGTATTAAATATACTACAAAAATATAATCAAATAATTTAAATAATAGCATTTGCTACAAATAATAATAAACAAAATAATACATTAATTAGATTACTTTAAAAACTTAATGAAAAACATAAATACAGTCAATTGAAAATTAGTATAAACGAAATGGCATATAACAGTAGATAAATACAAGCAAGTAACTACTACATAATGTAGATAAATACAAGCAAGTAACTACTACATAATATAGTAAAAACATTCTACACTCGTCTGGTCTTATAAAAGAACTTCACCGGAAGAAGTACCACCTATTTTTTTTTAAAATGCAATAGAAATATAAGATTTTTTTTATAAATAGTTTTTTTAACTATCTTTTATTAATTTATAATGAGCTTATGACTAAACGCCGTAAGAGCATCTCCGCCGTTTAAATTTTTTTTTCGTCAAATTTGAATAAAAATTTAAATAAAAATTTCATTTGATATCACTCATTTTAACAAAAAATTTTGAATTTTTATCAAAACACTAATCGACCGAGAGGATGTCTGGCCGATCGACTGGTTTGGTGTAAATTGACCACAACCTGCATAATAATTTTGCAAGGAAGAGGTTATGTCCAGGACGACATCCGGCCCAACAATCACCTACAAATTTGATGGAACACTCCAAGCATCCTTAATTTGATAAAAATTTTAAGACATCATTAATTTGATATTGGTTTGATATTAAGATTGGAGCACCAAAATTATTATTTTTTTCCATCAACAAATTTAAATTTGATGAAAGAAAAATGTAAGCGTAGAAGCTCTAACCGAACTTGACCAAGCACTCGTTTGGCATACAAAATTTTGGGGGTAAAATGCTATTTTAATCACAAAAGACAAAATAAGTTAAAAAGTCAATAAGATAAAATATCATATTCAAATCATAATCATTTCATTTTTTTCTCACAAAAGTCAAAAAAATTAAAAAATCTATCTCAAACGATATCTTTTAACCTAAACTAAAATAGTCACAAAAAAAAATTAAAAAGTCAAAAAATCAATCAACGTCCCAATTGAACCCTAAGGCCCCGTTTGTTTTGGGGTGTAATGGATGAGAGGACATTACGATGGATATGGGGTTATTTAGTGTTGTGTTTGTTTGTAGTTGGGGAATAGATTATGATGGAGGAAGGGATTAAGATGGAGGTTGGAAGGGGGATTGAGATGGGGGAGATGGAGGTAGTATTACAAAAATAGTGAGGAGATTAAATTTTTTTTTTATTTTTTACATATTGAATTTTTTTTTAATTTTTTATATTTTTTTATTTGTTTTATTATTTTATATAAAAATAATTTAATAATTCCTACACTAACAACTATCATCAAAACAAATACAATTTTACTTAATCCCCTCACTATCAATCCCATCACTACTAATTCCCTCATTATGAATCTCCTTCATCCTATCTCTGAAAACAAACAGACCTAAACGAGTTCGAATCTATTTACACTACACATTGGCGAAGCACACTTAGGGGTGCAACTCGGGCGGGCTCAACCCGAGCAACCCGAGCCCAGCTCGAGTTTTTTTAGGACTTGGGAAACTATATCTTGTAATCTAGACGGGCCTGGGCAGATTTTTGATGCCTGAATTATAATTTGGGTCGAGCTTGGGCAAAATTAATGGCCAACCCGAACAACTCGAACCCAAATTGAATTTAATATATTATATAAATTATATAATATATATAAATTAAATAATCGAGTTATTCTTAATTTTTATTTTTTGTTTTTTTGTTTTTTTTGTTAGTTTTTCACTGTTGGATTAGCATCTTGTTTGACTATTTAAACTAGCAGTCAGTTATGATTTTTTCAATTCTTGGGCCCCTTTCAAATGAAAATTATTTTAAGTAAGATTATTAAATAGTAAAAAATAATAGGAAAAGGAAAACTAAAAGTACCGTATACTAAATTCTTAAGCAAGAAGTGATAAAAATGTGTTGATAATTGGTCTACTTACAAGTTTCTGGACTTGTAAATTTCGAGCAATACGGACTAATCCGAGTTCAAAATATAAAGCTTAATTTAGGCTTGGACAGCAATACTCAGATTTATGGTCGGCCTGGGACAAACTTAAACACTACCAAATATAATTCGAATTGGACTTAAATAAACCCCAAACCCGCCCGAGTTGCACCTAACACACTTGATAAGGTTACATTTTTCCCGCTAAAAACAACTCTCTCTCTCTCTCTCTCTCTCTCTCTCTCGACATTTGCCCCCTTTTTCTTTTGTTTTTGGTACCAAACCAACACATTTTAACAACTCTGTTCTCTCTCTGAGTTGAATCACAGATTTGTAAGAGTTTGACCTCTTCGATCTCTCAATCATGCCGAGCATCATCAGCAATGAACTCAAGATACCAAATCCATCAAGATCAGCGACATCAGAGCCAATGGCGACTCCACTCTTCGGAAGCGAAGATTGAGATCCGATTCGGCTGCAGAAGACGGAACAAAGTCTAAATCTCCTCGTCGATGCATCAATGGCGGCCTCAATTGCACTGAAAATGTGAGTCTGAAAGTACTTCGATTTGCATCTGTTGATATTCTGCCATTGATGGTGATAGTGTTGGAGCTTCTTACATTTTTATGTTTTTTTTTTCTCCAGGGAATTATTGAAAAAGAATCGGGTGATAATAAGGTTGTCAAATCTCGCGAATTGCTGGTGAAAAAATTGTATGATGATTTTATTGACAAACCAAAGTGGAATCCAAGAGGCAAGTTTGAGCAATTAAACAATTTTATAGGTTGTGCTTTTATTAAGGGCAATTGGCACGAAATTTAAAATGTGGAGTTTAAATTAATAAAATTAAAATTACGAGAACTAAAATGAAATTTCCCTCAAATTAGAGGATTAATGATATATTTGACGTTGGAATAACTATTAACCATTATGAAATTAAATCCATCTTTCTCTTTCATCAAATCGTCAAAAAATCTAGATGTAAGGTTCAAAAGACACAATGCATTTGTACTCACCGCCGCAAGTGTGTATAGGTATAAATATATATATATATATATATGGACACATACGGTTGTGTGCAGGGAAGATGAGAAGAAAAGGGTTTTGGAGTTCTGTAAACAATGCATAGAGCAAGAGAAAGCAGGGTGTTTGTATGTGTGTGGATGTCCAGGGACTGGGAAATCGCTGTTGATGGAAAGAGTTAAAGACTCTCTGGTCGATTGGGCACAAGGGGTAAGCTGATTGCCCTTAATTGAATAAGTGTTTGGTTGAAAATGTTAATCTTGCTGCGTTACCGGTTAATATTCAACAAACAAATTATCGGTCACTCCTTTGTTTGGAAATTGTTAAGGGAAAAGTTCAGAACATGTTTTAAGGATTCTATTGTTTGGCATCATTTCCATTGTTCTTGTTTTTGTCTTTGGTTTTCAATTTTTGTGTTTTTAGAAGTTTGAAAACACAATATTTTTCGTATCACTTTTATTTTAGTACAAATTTTTTGGGACCTTATGGAGCATATTTCAATTTTTCCTCAAACATGAGTTGTCTTTCAGATTTTTTTTTTTTTGTTTTGCTTGCCAAAACAATTTTAATATGGATGCTGCTAATGACAGCTCAATAGGCTCTCAATAAGAGAAACAAAATGTCGAAAAAATTAGAATATCAATGTATTTTTTACACATCCCAAAGCATTTTCTCAAACCTGTTCTCAGTATGGCAGCATCACATCTGAGCGAATGTATGGGTTGGAAATTATGACTTTTATGTTTTATTTATCTGAAGTTGGCCTAAGAATTCTAGCTTTTTTTCCAAAAAGCAAGAAGAAAAAAAATGTAGGTACGAGGCTGTGAGAAATTATACATTTGCAGTTGCAATTACAAGTTGATAATTGAACAAGTTGCAACTTAATCATTTTCAGTATTTTCCTAGGAATCCAATGCCACTATTGTGACCTTTCTGCATTTAATGTTAACATATCTAAGTACTTCAATTGTGGAGATACCGCAATGTTCAAGGAATGTGTAAAAAAGTTCTTAAAATGCAATCTTTAAATTCTAAAACAGAATTTATTTGTTATTGACTTAAGACTGAATGCTATTCTCTTTATTAAAAAAAAAAAAAAAATTAAAATGGAATCTTCAAACTCTAAAACAGAATTTATTTATTTATTCATTTATTTGTTATTGACTCAACTCAAGACTGAATGCTATTCTCTTACAACAGGCACTTCCGTACCTCGTCTTTCAACCCCAAGCCCTGGAACTCTGTGCCAGAGTGAGTCACCCCCATTGATTTTTTCTGTGTTCTGATAAATAATGATTGCTTCTCTTTTCTTGACACATTGCCATTAATTTGGTAGTGGATCTGTATATGTAATATTACTTGAATGAATTCTCTTGACGTTAAGGATGCAGCCTCAATTTTCTATATTTCAAGTTAGCAGTGAAACTTCAGCACCAAACACCATTATGTGTAATTGTCTCATGAGCAAAGAAATTGATTATCTTTTAAAACATGGCAGAAAGTTGCAGCTGCATCTGGAGATATGAGGAAAGCTCTGTGCATCTGCAGGTTGGCCTTTTATTGCCATAGTTACAGCACTTAACTAGTAGCATATGTTGAACTTGTATTGTATTCAAGATGATTGAAATTAGATTGGTAGAAAATGTGCTTAGAAGTAATCATCAAGAAGATGACAGTGTCATTGAAATAATGTTAAAAAAAAAGTTGACTTCTATAGAATTTTTTGGACTTAATGATTACTATACATGTACACCATCTGTGTGTGAGCAATGGGTGTAATAAGCTTAACACTCTACTCTTTATTAGCTATGTTGAATTAAATACAATGAAAGCAAGATCCCTCTGACTTTAAAAATATGATGTAACTTGTTTAAGAATATCAGTATCACCATAAGTATGGTTGTGCTCACGTGGATTTCTTGTTTACAGGCTAATTATTGCTGATGAGTTGGATTATTTAATAACTAAAGACCGGGCTGTACTTCACGATCTTTTCATGCTTACGACTTTCCCTTTCGCTAGATGTATATTGATAGGTATGATGTTGCAAATACAATGTTTTAAACTTTTTTTGCTCTATTTATGTGATTTTGTGCAGAATTTGATGACAGAGTAGCTGTTAGCTGCCTGTGGTAGGGGAGTTCTCATATTCCATTTGCTTTTACAGGAATAGCTAATGCTATAGACCTAGCAGATAGATTTCTTCCAAGACTGCAGTCATTGAATTGTAAGTTAGTTACTTGCTTTAGTTAGTCATCTTTAGTTGTGCTTTTTTCTAATTCATCAGGTCTGGTGATAAGATTTCTTCCGCTAAGGCCCTCTTTGATGCCTGGCCTTCTCCCTAAATTGCTTACATCTTCAAAACATTTCTCCAATAGTTTTATTCAACCAATGTGTAATTGAATTGTCACCCTAACAACTTAGCTGGTTTCCATCAACAAGGATAATTGTTACCTATTGGTATTAGGGAATGTGGAAGTTCCTAGTCCTGCTGTTTGGATAACTCACTTCCTCCTTTCTATTTGCCTAAACCTTCCTTAGCAATAGCAGGAGGCAACTGCTAAGCACTACTTGGTGTAATGCTCAGTGATAGGTGTCTTCTATTCCCCTCTCCATCCTCCCATCGAAGTTTCACATATAAAAATGACATAAAAGAATGTGCTATGTTGTTGGTCTTGGTACTTACTGTTTGGTTCTACTTCTACCCATTTCTTGTGCTAGGCAAGCCTATGATGGTAACTTTTCGGGCATACTCCAAGGATCAGATCATCATGATTCTTCAGCGGAGGTTAATGGTAATTCTTGTGCTCCCTTTTTTGCTTTTCTTTAAACAAGTGGTCTGCTTTTGTTTAATCAAGCAATAATTTTTTATTATTTTGAACTGGATATCCTTGAAAGACCAAATGCTATGTTTTTTGTATTTAAGACCAAAGGTAAATCACTTTGTGTACAACCTGTTCTCAGTATGGCAGCATCACATCTGAGTGAATGTATGGGTTGGAAATTATGACTTTCATGTTTTATTTATCTGAAGTTGGCCTAAGAATTCTAGCTTTTTTTCCAAAAAGCAAGAAGAAAAAAAATGTAGGTACGAGGCTGTGAGAAATTATACATTTGCAGTTGCAATTACAAGTTGATAATTGAACAAGTTGCAACTTAATCATTTTCAGTATTTTCCTAGGAATCCAATGCCACTATTGTGACCTTTCTGCATTTAATGTTAACATATCTAAGTACTTCAATTGTGGAGATACCGCAATGTTCAAGGAATGTGTAAAAAAGTACTTAAAATGCAATCTTTAAATTCTAAAACAGAATTTATTTGTATTGACTTAACTAAGACTGAATGCTATTCTCTTTATTTAAAAAAAAAAAAAATTAATGGAATCTTCAAACTCTAAAACAGAATTTATTTATTTATTCATTTATTTGTTATTGACTCAACTCAAGACTGAATGCTATTCTCTTAACACAAC